GGCACACACAATCATTTGACCCTTTTAGCTCCCAAAGTGTAGCTTAAAGTTGATGACAGTTATTTTTTGTATTTTCCATCAGTTTTTTTCTCACATTAGCACTTTTTAGACTATCTGTAGTTAGAAGATTGCGTATTGGTTGATGAACCATAGCTCTTGGCATGACATGGAGTTGTAAGATGTGTGCCAGCCACAGTGATTACGCTTTAATGTAGTCAATCTGATTAGTGGTGTAGCGGATGACTAGTCAAGCAGGATATCCTCCACCACAGGCATTTTATCCAAGGGAAGTGTTTAACCAGATTAATCTATAGAAATTTTTACTACTGGGCAATAGTATGGGCTGCTTGATCTAGTCTTTCTTTCAGACACTTGTGTGTAATTATACCCTGAAATACTTTGAATTATTGGCCAATCAATTTAATTTTTTTATGCATGGCAGACAGTTTGATTTCCTTTCTGCAATTAGGAGAGTATTAAGTGAATGTCATTGCAAACAGTAGTGTGCATTATCCCCTTGCATGCTATCTGCTGGACTGAACATGATTCATATTGTTTTATGCAAATGCCTTATATGTTTAGCAAGTACTTTACCCAGGTAATTGCTACAAATTCAATGTAGGGTAAAGTCAGATTCTTTAATAAGGACCTGTTAATGGTCTTGGAATTGTTTCTTAAATATTCCAAGCTGTGCACATTTCTTTTTTGTGCTCTTTTTTTTTTTTAGTTGCCAGCAGTAATGGTTATGACCAACTTAATGGCTCGTGTTCAGTAAGAGAATAAGAAGTAGGAAATGGGAGTAATTACTCTTACATCAGGTTTGGCTGAATTGTTTAAACTCTTACCAGCGTTTGCTGGATGGGTTTGTAGTGGTTTTGTGGGATTTATAGTTCCACAGTAACTGCCTAATAGGGATGCACCGATACCGATACTAGTATCAGTGCCGATATCGAGTATTTGGGCAAGTACTTGTATTTGCCTCAATGCTCCGATACCTTTCCCGATGCTAGAGCTTCTGGTCAGAGGGAGATTTCCTCTGACCGGCAGTGCCGCGAGGAAAGATGGAGCCGGAAAGCTGGCTCCATGCTGTTTGGCCAGCTCGATGCTGATTGGCTGGGAAGCCGGCTTCCCAGCCAATCAGTGTCGAGCCGGGCAAACAAATCTGATAATATAGCGACACGACCCCCACCCTGCAGGCACCTCATTTCCCTCACATAGATCCTTAGCATTCTTTAACGTACCAGCCCCTCAGCCAGATCTGCCGTCTCCTGTGTGCACAGCGCTCACGTGATCGGCGCTCAGCCTGCTACTGCGCATGCACAGGATTTCTGAATGAAAGCACTGGGCAGTCTGCTCATGCACAGTAGCAGGCTGAGTGCCGATCACGTGGGTGCTGTACACACAGGAGATTCGGGAGAGTGCTGTCTGCCCAGCTGGCTGAGGGACTGGTACGTTAAAGAATGCTAAGGATCTATGTGAGGGGAATTAGGTGCCTGCAGTGTGGGAGTCGTGTCGCCATATTGTCAGATCTGTTTGGCCGGCCTCGATGTCGATTGGCTGGGAAGCCGGCTTCCCGGCCAATCAGCATCTAGCCAGCCAAACAGAATAGATTCGGCTTCCCGGGCAATCGAGAAGCCTTCCCGGCTTCCTCATTGCCCAGGAAGACGGCTCTATGCTACCGGAAGTACCGGCATCGGTACTCGGTATCGACGAGTACAGAAATATAAGTATCGGTACTCGTACTCAATACCGAAAAACCGGTATCAGTGCATCCCTACTGACTTGCCACATATTGACTACATCTTAGGCCACTGGTAGATACCGTACACAGTATGCAAGTATATGCAGAGCGAGGCTGACAGCTAGGTTTGAATTCAATAAACCATTTTATATCTGGACTGCAACATTTCAAGATCCTTTTGATCTCAAGGGGAATGTAGAAGAACAATCTGTTTATGGGTCTCGGTGTATACATGTGGGGTGATATTAAAGACCCCCATTTAATCCAGTTATGTTCTTTGTTAAAAACCCTTAAATGCACTTTTAAGTAGTACTCTGCCTTTGTTTTAGCCTCCTCTAATCCCCTGCACAGCAAAATTTCTTTTAAACATGATGGTGATAGGGTCACTTTAAGAAAGCGTAGGACGTGCCATTTATTTTATTCGGTTTGATTGGTAAACTTTTTAGGTTCTATAAAAGTTATGCTTTAATTTAGTGGGCTATCCTTTTTTTATTGCTTTGCTCAAAAAAAGGTTTATAATTTCACTGCATAGTATAGACAATGTGAAAGGGGCAATACCTTTACCGTCTAGCAGGCAGATGGGTAACTTAATAATAGAAAGCTGTATAAGCTAATTAGATCTCCTCTCGGTTTTCCAAGGACATTTCCATAGCTGGCTTTGATTCCCATACATATGTTTATGATTTTACTATCCTTGTTATTCATTGATTTTTTTTCTTACTAATTGTGGGAACATCATTTTATATTCTGAGATCTAATACCTATTATGGAAGGCAAAACTAATTTTTCCTGTGGAAAAAGTTATAATGAAATTTATTTGCAGCTCAACTTCAGGAAAATATGAAAACAATTAATGTAATTATTTTTTTATTAAGAAATCATTACATATAATATTCTTAATTTGATTGGAGTGTAGCTTTTGAATAGCAAGTACAGACATAGTGAAAATTGCTAGAAGTACCTAGTATTACTTTTTGTATAGTTGTAGTTTATTCATTGGGTCATATGCTTTTAAATACAATTCCTAGTGATGTGAACTGATTTGGGTTTGTTGCAGGATTGACGGGACATTTGTCTATGTTTGGCCAAATAACGTTATTGTTGGATAAGTCTGTAGTATTTAGCCAACAGAAATGTAGCCAGCAGCTTTTAGGATATCATTAGAGTAAGGTGAGAGAACATATATATTGGCAAGAATTTAAAGTGACACTACACTCAGGAGTTAAATCTTAAAAATTAATTGAGGTACATGTTTGTATTATTTAAGGTAGGAAAAAGAAGGATGGGGATAGGAGAGTTTTGTAAGGTACATACCTTGTATAGTGTAGTACAGGCGGGTTCCCTATTTTAATATATTAGCAAAAAACACGAATTTCCCCAAAAGGGGATCCCACCATCCTTTCAAAGTGTACGCAAAATGATTTATAAAAATATATATTTATTATAGGAATTTTAAAATGTATAGCACATATACCAAAAGGTAACAACAAGACATAGACCGACATATGTATATGGCTGCATTCTGTTTAAAGATACTAAACAATACTGTAAAGAACAGGCAGTATGGCATTGGCCTGGAAAGGCCTAAATTCTATAGAAAATATGATATAATCGTATTAACCAGTAAATTAACTTTGGAGAGAGTGTCCGTATATATACCAAAAAAGAGCTCTGTATTAAAAAATGTATATTGGAGGAAAACGAAAAAAAAAAAAAAGGAGAAAAAACGAACAGTCATCATCAACGTGTAATAGAAGATGGATGTTAACTCAGAATGAGATTTATCCTCGTTTTTGGATCCGGTTTGGGGAGAAATAAAGATGTTACTGCTACTCCGACTGGAACTGTTTTGTAGAATGTAGGTAGTACAGGAGATGTAATTGTATTTTGAGCTGATCGCTGTAAATCAATGCCTTAACTGAACTCCGATGTAGATTCCATGGAATTTTGAATCCAGATCATGGGATACCATGTAGATGGAAAAGATTTTCCTTGCTAGATCACTGTGGAGTAGTTCAATATCCTCTTTTTTATATGTAGTGATACAGGGATCCAAAAAGATGTAATCATCAGAAATAGCACAAGCTGTAATGATGGCTGCGGTGGATTCAGGAGATGACCTTGTCTTGGCTTTTTTGGAGATATAAGCCTTTACTGAAGCCACAGCGTCTTTGTCCTCTATTTTCCATAGACGGACCTCCAATATGTTCTGGTAATTCAATGTGGTCCCCCAAAGAAGCATCCTTCTCTTCTGCAGGGAAGAAGATAGTAGACTTGGGACTCGGCATTACATTAAACCGGTACATTTTGTCTTTATTATAATGACCCAACATATAGGGGACATTCTGTATCCTTAGCTCTTCACTGAAAATAATGTATGCTAGGCTGTAATTTGTTTTCAAATGTTACAGGTCAGTGTGACAAATTTGTGCCCTTTTAGTGACCTTTCATTGCAGTGACTACAACCTTTTACCAGGAGACATGCCATACAAAATATTTGTTTTCCTTTGTAAATAGATATTTATTTTAAAGAGAGTATGTTCAGTAAATACACATGTTATGTTGTCATAACATTTAGCTGAAAGTCATTTTAATGCAACTTACAAATATTTATTATGTGTATAATATCATTATTTTATATTTCATATAAGAGAAGTACACACTTCCTGTGTGGTTACTGGGACGGAAAGTGAGGGAAATCTCTCTAATAGTAAACAAAGGGAGTGATGTGATCTCGCCATTTGTCATTAATGGTTTGTGTACCTGTTGGGGAGATTACCTGTGTGGTCACCAGTTCAGGGATAGAAATCTCCCCAGCAGTAAAATCCTTACCAGTCAAAAGAAAAAAAATGACTGGAGGCTGATCCCATGTAAAAAAAGATCTATCTATCCAGGGGCGTCCCGAGACTAGGTGACACCCGGGGCGGAGACTGGGGTGACACCTCGGCGTGACATTTCCGCGCGAAGATGGTCTTTTTGAGAGAGGAGGGGACGTTCACCCGGCGGGATTAGGTATGCCGCCGGGTCATCTCCTCTCTTCTGACACTGTCGGGCTCTCTGTCCGTGACCGAGTGCCCGACATTTCAAAGGGGGTGACACCAAAATGACTGTCAGTCATTTTGGTGTCACCCCTCCAATGGTGGCACCCGAGTGCGGGCCGCACCCCCCTTGTGACGCCACTCTCCTATCTATCTCTATCTCAGTGGTTTACCTTTATGTTTATACTGGCTTTGTTTCATAGGCTTTCTGTTCTTTACAGGTACTGGAGCATCCTGCATCTATCCATTGCTGGGGGCCACGCTAAACGGATGGTATTTCCTTGCAACTGAAGTGGATGACATCTGCTTCAATTATGCAAAGAAAAACGTGGAGCAGAATAACTTGGCTGATCTTATTAAAGGTATTTATTATTTACGTTGTTAATGTCTATGAGGTCTGTGCTCTCCCTTTACATTGAGGGTGTTGCTGTACTGTAAAATACAGTCTAATCTGTGAGTATTACATTTTTATTTTATTACATTTAATATATTCCTCTTTAATTGCACAACACGTTAACGAGCAGCAGCACCACAACACATTTACGGTTTGCGCTTTCTGGTTATTTTGCCATTTCAATTTTTATTGTTTTGTAAAGGTTGCACAAAAAGGTGTGAGAACAAAGAAGAAACAAGGATTAAATATGCATCTGAAAAATAATGCAGTATTCATGTGTAGTGACAGAAATTAAAATACAGAAATACTGTATATTAATGCTCCCAAGAAGAAGAAAGGAAAAAAAGGAACATTAACAATGTGTTACAGAATGCACAAACAAAAATAATATATAAATAGAAGGGTATTATATGTCATGCAGTAATTTAAGACACCAAGGTTTCTAAAGGAAAAAAATATATTGGCAAAATAATGGCGGTGTCTTTGCAAAGGTCTCCTCAGCACATCGATTGCTAGTGCTCCCCTTTTGCTCTTTCCTATATTGCTTCCCAGAACTAAAATCTTCAGTGTTGGTGTTGAACGCCATCAGGAGTGGTGACATCACTCCCTTTGTCATGTGACAGGCCTCGAGCCTAGTGGTTGGCTTCTAGACCCGAGTGTACTCACCTGGGAAGAGGTCACATGATCTTCCATTCCCATAAGCACTGGTTATTGTCCTAGGGCTGCCGAGGTGACTAAGAGTTGGTTGAGGGGGGACCCCGTTGCATAGGAACTGCCACTTATCTTTGAAGGGGCAAGGTGACAACTCTTAAGCAGACAGCAGCAAAACTAGATTAGAATGGCAAGCGTTAGAATCTCTGTTAGGATATTACTGTCTTAGTCCTTTTGTCCCAATGACAACTGCTCTCCTCCTTTCATGGAGGTGAGTGAGGTGAAATCTACCCAATATGGTTAGAAACAGCAGCAGTATGTACTTATCAGCATTATTTACTCTTTCTAAGACTATCCAAAACTTCGAAAAGAGTTTTGTCTAGGTCTGAGCTTTAACAATTCTCTAAAGCTGTAGAAAATATGTACCGTTTCTATATTTTTAAATGCTCTTAGGGATTTTCTGAGCTGTGTGCTCCCTCATTAGTATATTCAGGAATGCATGACTTCATGAATAACAAATTGTCCACGCTCTCTAGTATTGCAATGTATTAGCCATGCATATACTGAGACCAAGTTAAACAGGAAAGTTGAGGATTACAATATGAGGTTATGGGTCACCCTCATCAGTTTGACATCTATAAATAAATTATTATTCAGTGATTTCTCTCCATGTAATATATCCGTGGGTGAAAACTGTAATTTTGGGAACATTTAATTTGCCAAGTGCCTTCAGATCACATTTCTTTGCAGCCTTCTAAAAGGTGTTCATTTTTATAAAAATAAAAATAAAAGAGAACATCATTCTTGTTAAAATAAATAATATAAAGTCACACCGCTCTGCCGGACTGTGATAGGCGGCAGAGCGGTGTGGGAGGAGACGCCGGCCGCTCACAGCAGCGCTCGGCCGGCTGTCACTTTCTCGTCTCCCCGCTGGGACATAGAGCAGCGCCCAGCGGGGAGAAAAGAAATCACGGATGCGCCGATGTATCGGCAGGAAAATGGCACTTTCGGCATTATGCCAAAAGTGCCATTTTCGGCCAATATGTTTCGGCGGCCGATATATCGGTGCATCCCTAGTATGTACAATCGCTACACAAGTCACTTTTTATTTTAATGGTATTAAAATGACCATTCATAGCGATATTGATGATGCAATCCAGATACCTTCGTGCTTCGCCGTTCCTTTAATCAATTCACCAGAACAGATGTGACCCTATAATGTAAAAGGTCATCAGCACTTCTGCAAACTGCAATGAATCCTGGTGGCTCCATGCTTGTATCCTCCCAGATAAGCCCAGACACATTGCGAGAATTGATAAAAAGCTTCTGCGACAAGTTCTATCTCAACTGGGGCGGTTGCACTTGGCAACCAATCAGCCTATATGTGTTTTATTTTTTCCACATAGCTTAGAAAATGAAAATGTAAAAGCTGATTGGCTGCACCACAGTTGAGACAAAGTTTGTCTTAAGGTGGCCATACACCTGCCGATTATCTACGATAATTGCGGGAAATCCCGAGATCGTACAATAATCGGCAGGTGTATGGAAGGCGTGCAACCGTTTCTACTGTACGGTCACACGTCTTTTGTCTTATGAGCATGTTTGAAAATCGTAAGATTTTTGGTGGATTTGTGGCCTGATCGTAAGACAAATGCCGAACGGGCCGGTGTGCGCAAACACACACTGCCCGCTCATCATTGCAGTCATCGGAAGCCCTCCCCTCAGCGGGGCAGGCTTGGGATGATCGCAAGTACGATCTGCCTGTCCAAGATGGGCAGATCTTACTAGCTTTTAATTAGCTTACAACCATCGCAAGACGAAAGTGTTTTTTAGAAAATTAAAAACGCATGTATACAAATAAATGTTTTTCAGTGGTGTAGTTTACAGCAGTGCATTGCATTTTGATCAGACTCATTGGGCTGTACTGGAAACGTTACCAATCTACAAGCTTAATTATATCTGCTTCCGCTTATCCCCGCAGCAGACCGACACAGTGTGATTTCACCAACGCGTTTTGTCACTTCTGGAGGACATTTACTATGTCTTGGCAAATAGCGGGCTACTGCTCGGTATATGCAGACAGCGCACAGTTGCGCTGCAGCCGGGAAGATCCACCCAGCTGCCTGATTGATGGCTGTCTGTGCCTCTCTAGAGCCAGAGCCAAATGTGCCCACGCCCTCGTCTATCTGCCCCTCCAATAAGCACTGAAGGAACATAGAGAGGGGAGGGGATAAAACCCTGTGACTGTCGGTAACCGTTCTCTGCAGGGAAAAGCCATGAGCTGAGTGATCAACGGTTTGTGATCAGTCAGTTTTCAAGCTATAGAGCCAACGTGTGACAGCTACAGTGTCACATGCCCGCTCAAACTATTAGGAAGAGTATATTTTACCCTCCCAATAGTTCCCCTTTAAAGCACAAAATACCAAGTGTATATATAACTTGCTATTTTCACTAAACAGCTCTGTTTGGCAGTGTGCTTGTTATCTGACTCTATATTCAAACCATTAATAACACAGGCCAGCATGTCCATTAAGTAAAGTACTGCCCTATTTTCTATGCCATAACCCATAAAATATTGGACCATCACTGGGGACACATCATTGTTAAAATCACATATAAAGGTTGAATTATTTTAACTCCCTTTGTTGTTTATCTAGGACAATTCTATTCTAAAAATATTCAGTCTATTGCCATGTGTCTTCTAACTGGTCTGATGTCATGGCTTCATGTTTTGTTTTGTTTTTCTGCATTGACATGGTGGGGCAGTCCTGGCTGCACACTGAATAACGAATAAAAAAACGAAGGAACTGACAAGAACATCACAGACATCAGGGTTGGTCTGAAGAGGTTCCCTGAAGTGAGACCGATGTGGACACATGACTTTCCTTCAATATTACTGGCTGCTTGCCATCACATACCAGCCATCACATGAGCGTTTCAGAGATTACATAGCAGAAGGGACCACACATGAGGTTAAACCGTGCGCTATTAACAGAAAGGAAATCAAATTTGTCATTGTTCATTTCTGAAGGTATCAACCTAAAACAGCTCCCTGCTCCAAAGCTCCATCAGAGGAATCCCTTGTGACCCCTCACAAAACGGTCCTATTCTTCTCTTGCTCTTTGAGTTTACATGTATAATTAATGCATTTGCTGTTATTATAGAGATCTGATGGAACAAATGGATGTCATCACAACTTTCAATATTTTATCTTTTTCATTATTCATCTTTTCCTTCCTTTGTCTTATAAAAAAATATGGTAAAATGAGTATTTCTTTGCATTGGCAGAATACTAAAATACAAACCACACTGAAAAAGTATTAGAACAGAAAATGGGTTGCAGGCAAATTGTGTTTAGTCTGTTTAACAAATAACAGTTGTAAGGAGGATTGTGTCACAATGAAGTCACATGGTAAAGTCTTGAGAAGAATAGCAAGTAAAATTATAATGCAAAGCGAATTCTGAATTGCACTGTAATTCTATTTAAAGTCTAACTGGGCACAAGACAAAAAAAACACAGCTGGGTTAAAGTGACACGAAGCTCAGGAGTTAAATCATAAAAATACATTCAAGTACTGTACCTCAACTATTAACAAATATGTATCTTGTGTATCACTCGGCTGCAGATCCTCAATTTACCTCTGAATTGGTGCTGACACTGTCCTTCCTTCTGGAGGGTGGCTACTTTTGTTCCCCATGGTCCCTGTGTGTGTTGTAAAGTAGTCACCGCTCCAAGCTCACTCCTGTGATGGACTACAATCTCACATTTATTTTGCTAATTTCTATTGAGATTGTAATCCATCATGGGAGCGCGTTTGGAGCGGTGGCTACTTTACAACATACACAGGGTGTTGTCATGTGTGTCTTTAACATTGCTGCGCAACAGTATCTTTGTATGGACTGTGGTAATGGCATATATTACAAAGGCAGGGATTCTGTCACCTTCAGTTCTATAACTTGTATCTACTTTGCAATCCGTGTACATTAAATGTATTAAAGAAGTGTATTTTATCTTTTTTTTAGTGGTTAAAGTTCCCCAGAAAACACTTCTAATGGATGCATTAAAAGAAGAATCTGGTATCATATATGATTTTTGCATGTGCAATCCTCCATTTTTTGCCAATGAGATGGAAGCTCAGGTATGATAATCCCCAGTTATTGTTTAATGTCATTCTTTATGTATTTCTATTTGTCTGTCCATCCATTCCTGTCCAGCTTAATACCGGTATTAGTCATCCCTGGTAATAAGAGTCATTTAAACCAGAATGTTCCTATTGGTGAGAACTTTGAAAGCCTTAAGGGACATCAGGATAACGTCTTTCTTATTCTATCTAACACTAATTATGTGATTGTAGTGAAAACAAAATCTACAGGCTAGCCGCCCATATGAAAGATTTCACAATATGGACTGGGATGGATTATCTCCATATACATTGCCTGGCCAAAAAAGTCACCACCTGCGTTTAGCTAAGCAAATAGAAAATAGCCTTCTATTGAATTAGTGTTATGATCTGGGGTCAGTGGCATCACAAGAGGGGGGGTGCTGCCTGCATCGGGTGACACCAAACTGACTAACGCCACTGACTGCTGAGAGGAGGGGACCCGGCAGCATCCCACTAGATGAACATCCCCTCCTCGAGATGGCCACCGGCAGTTAATTGCGCATGACGTGCGGGCGACACCCAGCGGCTGCATTGGGTGACGCCCAGCATGGGGACGCCTCGGTCTGGGGTTTAGTTGGTCATGTCTAGGTTCAGCTTTTTTGGGGTTAATGTGCCCAAAAAAACTGCCTATCTGAATATACTGATTGGTCAGTATGGTTCAGGTTTTTCCATCAATGTTTTTTTCTTCCCTGATGGTACGGGCACATTAAAGATGACATTGCCAATATTCATAGGGCTCAAATTGTGACAGAGTGGTTCAGGGAGCATGAGACATAATTTTCACACATGGATTGGCCACCACAGAGTCCAGACCTTAACTCCACTGAGAACCTTTGGGATGTGCTGGAGAAGACTTTACGCAGTGCTCTGACTCTTCAATCATCACCACAGGATCTTGGTGACAAATTAATGCATCTCTGGGTGGAAATAAATGCTGTAACATTGCATATACTTATCAAAATAATGCCATGGTGAATGCGTGCCGTAATCGCTGCTCAAGGCGGATTTATATATGGTATAGAGCAGGGGCGCCCACAATTTTTCGCCTGGAGATCTACTTTTCGAAAAGACGAGCTCAATGAGATCTACCAACAAAAAAGCACCTGCATTCAGGGGCGGGAGGAGGTGTGGCGGTGCATTAAATTCAATGGCACCGCAGGCAGGCCCCTCGCCCACAGTGCGATCGCCTGCACCCGGAACCCAGGCACATTAGTGCCTACGTTCCAGTCCAGTGCGATCCGCAAAAACTGCTGCAAGCACTATTTTTGCAGATCGCACTGGACCGGAATGCAGGCACTAATGTGCCTGCGTTCCGGGTGCGGGCGATCACACTGTGAGCGGGGGGCATGGCTGCGGTGCCATTGAGTTCAATACAACCCCACGCCCCCTCCTGCCCCTGAATGCAGGGAGTCGGCCGGCTTACATTCCAGTGCGTCCTAGAGGCCCCGGCGTCCTGTCCTCCCGTGGTGCTCGTGTGGCCGACATTGCACATGGCGAGAGGTGTCCTGCCCCTTTCCATCTGCTGCGTCTGACACATGCAGCCGCACGAGCGCCGTGGGAGCATAGCCGTAGCCAGCTCCTTTTGCGCCCGAGGGAAGAAAAAAACCACATGCCCCACCCCCAACACGCGTGTGATGTCACCCAGCGCCCTGCCTCCAGGATTTTTATTTTTTACTATTTTTTATTTTATTTTAATTCTTATTTCATTTTTTTTTCATCTTCATATTTTTTTTTTTTACTCTTAGGGAGGCTACGGTGAAATATCTGGGGTCTAAACAGCCTCCTGATATTTCCCTTTTAAAATAGAAAAAGAAATTGAGGACACAAAGTCCTCAATCTCTTTTTCTGCAGCCTCTGTTCTAAATGAATGGAAAGCACAGAGGCTTCCTATTCATTCAGAAAATATTTTACTATCATCCAGTTTCTGAATGGGGAGGAGCTTCTCCCCATTGAGAAACTCATGAATGAACAGGACGTGATTTAAATCACATCCTGTTCATTCATAACTGGGGACACATAGTACTATGTGTCCCCAGTTATTTACAAACACTGGAGTGATCAGCTGATCGCTCCAGTGTTTGTCCTGCACGTAGGATTGGTACCGATATGTACCGATCCTCTACCGCTCGGCCACACACACGGGGGCTCAGCTTCTCCTCTGGATCTCCTGGGCAGAGGCAGCGGGGGATCCGAGGAGAAGTCAAAGAAGCACTTCAGCCGCGGGGGAGGGGAGGGGGGAGGAGCCGCTGTCACAGAACTAAGGCCGAGCGGTGAGGGGAGAGAGAGAAGCGCCGTTGTCAGATAATGGCCGAGCGTCTCTCTCCTCAACGCTCGGCCTTAGTTAAGCGACAGCGGCTCCTTCACTTCTCCTCGGATCCCCGCTGCATACAGATGAGGATCCAGAGGAGAAGACCTACGGGCGGGAGGAGAGGACATCGCGATCTACCAGTGATTGCTACGCGATCGACTGGTAGATCGCGATCGACCTTATGGGCACCCCTGGTATAGAGAATCATAAGACTTGACATTTTTTTTTTTCAATGTATAGCTGGAACAGATACCCTTTTCCCTCCCCCCAAAAATGGAGGTTCACTGTGGGCTCCTGGATAGGGATGTACTGGATTGCTAACATCCTTGTTCACTTACATCAAAGACAGGTCCAGCTCTTCTATAGCAATAAAAGGAAGTCTAACCTAAAGGTGTTGCCGATAACCATAGTGATGATAAATTATGCACTGCAGGCTTTAGACGTTAAATATGCTCTAGTATAATGCACATTGCAGAGCCGTGTATGCTGTAGGCGTCTGATCGTGGAGTCATGTAAGGTTACAGATTCTGATAAAAGTCCTCTAACTAACTGACAGCTTGCCTGAGGCCTTGTATCGTGAAATGATCACTATAACCATGGCAACAATTCTGCTATTTGAAGAGCTGCGTTTTTACATTGATATCCTCTGCTGTCCTCACAGGGGGTGAACTCGCGAAACCCTCGCCGCCCCCCTCCAAGTTCTGTAAACACGGGTGGCATTACCGAGATTATGGCAGAGGGGGGAGAGTTGGAGTTTGTAAAGAGAATCATCCATGACAGCCTTCAGCTAAAGAAAAGGTTAAGGTGAGTGGGGATTTTTTTATGTAATATATTAAATAATATTTTATACAGTTTACAAGAGAACATCAAGAAATATCCATCAGTACTTGTTCTTACCACAGACATGCACGTAGACGTCTACATGTGTATTACAGGTGTGATACTGTTCAGTGTAAACAATCATTTGAATTTATTTTAAGCCTTTCAAATGTTTTGCTGTATCCAGCAGACTTTAGATGGTGTTCATATTTTAACGTGACACTAAACTCAGGAGTTAAATCTTAATAATGCATTCAAGTACCTCAACTAATAAACAATGTCGTTTATTTGTGCATCACTCGGCTGTAGATCCTCAAATCATCTCTAAATTGCTGCTGACTCTGTCCTTCCTTCTGGAGGGTGGCTAATTTAATTCCCATGGTCACTGTGTTTGTTGTAAAGTAGTCACCGCTCTAACTATGGGTTTAGGACCCCAGTGTGTGAAAAGCACTCAGGCCATGGCACCATTTGCTTTTTCTGCACTACACCTTCTTGGGCTAGGTCTTATAGCTAAGACGGGGGTCATTTTTTTATACCAGGCCGCAAGGCCCGGTTTTCTAATTTGTATTGAGATTGCAGTCCATTACAGGAGCAAGCTTGGAGCGGTGACTACTTTACAACACACACAGGGTCCATGGGGAACAAAAGTAGCCACCCTCCAGAAGGAAAGACAGCATCGGCCCCAATTGAGAGATGATTTGAGGATCTACAGATGAATGATACACAAATAAGATACATATAAGTTACTTGAATGCATTTTTAAGATTTAACTCCTGAGTTTAGTGTCACTTTAAATCCTGCAAAGTAATGCACATGAAAGACTTTGTCTTGCTGTTCTTGAGCATGGTTTTGCATTTGCAGTGAGAACAGAAGGCTATAGGCTCAACGTTTCCAACAAGGCTCATTCTTTTCCCCTGATGGCACCCCATAAACAACCCTAGTTTAGTCTGCACAAACATTCTGCAGCCATTTATGACTTCTCCATGCTTAAGCATGATGTGCCCTCTTACATGTAAACTTCACACTCTCTTTCTGGAAGTCCATGTACCTGCTGTGGTGCTCAGCAATACTGTAACACTCCGTGCACAGAGCAGAACATACGTGTATGTAAACCCTAATAATGAACATCTCTTGTTTGCTCCTTTTTTACCTGCTAATCATGTCAGACATGTAAGCCGTCTTGTGTGTATTGTGCACACTTCTTTTGTTATCATGACATCTAACAAGTCCTCCTAGTTGTTATCTTGGGACTACAGAATGATTAGTCACTATGTTGTGGAGAATAGCTAAGGGCAGACCTGGGCATTCTACGGCCTTTGGTCTGTGGCAGTCAGCCCGCAGGCCACACATAGGCCGATTGCCGACCTGCGCTCATTTATCGCTGGCTAACAGTAGATGCATAGGTCTCCAAGGCTGGTGCATACACTGCAAGCCATAGCCCAGCACAGGTCAGCAGCTGGTCCATGTCTGGACCGCATTCCTCTTTAGTCCTTTGTTGCTAGGACTGCTGGCTTTCTAGAAATCAATGATGTCACAGGTCCTCTGCAGTCATTGGTTGCTAGGATCGCTGGGTGGTCCTTGCAACCAGTGACACATTCTTCCCGCCCCCAGCTTTACTCCATCCTCCTTCGTCCTCTCCTGCACCTCCTGGCATGTGAAAATAAAACAAGGTATGAAGTACTTTACTATTAGGGCCCGTTCCCACTGGGTCCCTGCATTAATCACTTGGTTCTGTGCAGTTATCGCACCGTACTGGCCAACGCAATGTGGCCAGGAAGGGAGACTGGGGTGACATTCAAATGCATTGCAATGCAACGTACCTGCCACTGTAACACACAGTAGGTGGTGGTGCGGTACCATGCGTTAATCATATGAGAAACTGGGACTGCTGTGGAGGGCCGAACCAATAGGCCCTATTGGTTCGGCCCTCCACAACAGTCCCAGTTCCTCACGTGACCCCTTGAAAAAATAAAATGCCCACCCCTAACTTAGGGGGTGGGTTGAGTTGTTTAGCAAAAGAAAAATGGGCAGGACTGACGCCACTTAATCCATAAAAATACTGTGTGTTATAAACCCACAACAGAACTTAGAAACTGAGTGCATTTCTGGTAGATCAACAGGTCTTTTTCTGTACTTGCAGTCTTTGAAGGTAAGATGTTTATATGCTTGTGTATGTCGATGTTAAACTTCTTGTGCATATTTAAAAAGTGCTGCTTTGGTGTTTGCTCATTGCTTATGAAAATGTTTGCAGGGGAGAATTTTGTTCTCAAGCCTGTGCAAAGAAAGAACATGCTCTAAATAACAGTATCCATTACTACTCAAATAAATGTGTCAGTCTATTCTCTATGTGGGCATATGTATCTATTACTGCTTGACGCACTCTGATTCCCAGCTCATTGCCATGGTACGGCACTGATTCATGCTTGACGGTAAATGTGTAATATGTTTTGTCGGGCACACAGTGTGTCCACATGTGGTATTTTGCTTAATTACAAATAGATTTCCGCAGACTGGCAGCAGATCTGGCCCAACCACTGTGACAATTTTCTCTACTTACTGTTAAACCAAAGACCCCGTGTGATCCCCCAGTCTATCTTCTCTTGCAACAGTCAAATATGGTATTGATAATGAATTGAAAAGGCTGTCATGTTCCTGACACTGGAGCTGCACTGACAGTAAGCACAACAGACTCCAATGTTTTCTGATTAGTAAGCAGATGGGGACTATAATCCTGAGCTAAACCCACCACTGGTCCTGTGTTCATAGCCCAGCACACTCTACTCCTGTACTTACACTGAGCTGTCAAGTGTTTGATTGTGGACAGGTGATTATAGCTCTCTTTTTGAGATATGCTTAAAAAGGCTAATTATTCAAATCGGCTCTGCCGTTATAAACCCTGGTGAAAAAATGTAATTTGATTGTCAGAATAACTACATGTGTCTGTTTTTATTTCCAGTTTAAAAAGCTATTACAGGCAAAAAATGAAATCGGTCATTTAATTGTTAAAGTAGACTTAAAGCCAATCACTAATCTCTTAAAAGCTTTAAAATGCAAATGTCATTAAAAATGATTTTCCGTTTTTCTAAATCCCTGGTAATCCCGCCATAAAGGTCCCTGCTCAGGCACTTCCTGTTACGTCTCCCTGTTGTGCTTCAGCATGGTCACCCTGTCACATTTGCCGCTTATGGGGACTTAAAGAACAACTCTGGGCTCCCTTTTTCTTTTTCCTTGCAGTGGGGCTTTACTTTCTTAGTGCAATCAGTGAGCCAATTACACAACAGGAGATGACATTCCTGGGGGCTTTCCATACACCAGTGGTGTAACAGAACGCCTCCTAGTTACATAGTCAGGTTGAAAAAAGACACAAGTCCATCGAGTATAACCTTTAGAGATACGGGGAAAAAAAGAAGAAAAGCCTAAACAGAACACTGCCCACAGTTACCGCCTGTTGATCCAAAGGAAGGCAAAAAAAACACTATAAAGCATTGTTCAATTTGCTCCAACAGGGGAAAAAAATTCCTTCCTGATCCCATAAGGCAATCGGATATTCCCTGGATCAACAATCCCTGATGCCTATAATAACTCAATTTCCAGTAATATTCTGTGCATTTAAGAATATATCCAGATGTTTTTTAAAACAATTAAAGTGACATTAAACCCTCAGATTTTTTAACATAAACCAATACTGTAATGTGTGCCTTACTGTAATCCATGGTTGTTTCCCTTCTCTTTGCTGCTCTTCCTTTTAAATCCTCATGTCTTCTCATGCTGGGGGAGAACTTCCCTTTTCAGCTCAGGGCCTCTTCCTGTAGTGCTGGCTCAGGCTACAAACCTATACACAGACACCATATATCCATTCCTGAGACAAGGCAGTCTGCTGCAAAACAGAAGTTCTGCCCAGCATGAGAACATATACAGATTTAAAAGGAAGAGCAGCAAAGAGAAGGGAAACAACCATGGATTACAGTAAGGCACACATTACAGTATTGGTTTATGTTAAAAAATCTGAGGGTTTAATGTCACTTTAACCGAGTTAGCTAGAACTAGCTCCTGGGGGAGTCTATTCCACATTTTCACAGCTCTAACTGTGAAGTATCCTTTCCGTATGCAAAGGTTAAACCTCTTGTTCTGCAGACGCAAAGAGTGCCCCTTTGTCCTTTGCAGTGACCTTGAAGTGAATAATTTGGCACCAAGCTCTTTATATGGACCATTTATGTATGTATACATGGTGATCATGTCCCTCCTTAATCGCCTCTTCTCCAGAGAGAACAAAGGTCAGAGGTCAGTTAATCTTTCCTCATAGTGGAGCTCATCCATGCCTCTTATGAGTTTAGTCGCCCTTAGCTGCACTTTCTCCAGTTCCACAACATCCTTTTTGTGAACTGGTTCCCAAAACTGAACTGAATATTCCAGATGAGGTCTTACTAATGCTTTGGTTGCCATGTTGCATTATTTTTTTTACCAGTTTTTCAAAAACTACAGCAGCTTCAAATTGAAATGTAAAAATTATTTTAATAACATTAAATTTAATAAAATGACTTGTGTAGCAATTGTATACTATACTATGTACTATATTATTTATTTTAACACAAATGGTGTTCTCGTTTTATGGTCAAGCCTATGTGAATAGAAATGCAAGAAGCAAAGCAACAAATTCACTTTACAATAACCCAGAGCAACCAATCATAGTTCATATATTGCAACCAGATCAGCACAAGATTGATTCTGATTGGTTACTATGGGTAGTGCACTTTGCACTTCTTGAATAAGGCAATTTTGTATCTCGCCCTTTAATTTCTCCTTACTCCAACTCCAGACAAAAGTGTTCTTTACCCTTGCAGTGGGGCTACCCCAGCACTGCAAGGGATAAGTGCTTGTTTGTGTCTATATGATATACTCATCCAGACCTTGGAGCCAGCCCACTGATAGAACGCTCCCTACAGTGTGTGTTCTCCTCTGCTGCAGCGATGGTATGTCTCTCAGCGCCCTCACATTCTGTTCACTGATCCTATTAAAAATAATGACTCGTGGACCTTAGACCGCTGCAGCAGAGGGGAAGAAGGGCTCTGGGGACCGGTCAAACCAGCTTGAAGGATCAGGTAGGTATAACTTTATTTTTGCACCTAGACACAAATGAGCTCTTAACCCTTGCAGTGCGGGGATTAAGAAAAAGTTTGCCTAGAGATCTGCTTTAAAGTGGCCGTGCTGACATACGTGATGCAGGCATGTTCTATCCCTGTCACTATCAGAGAAATGGTCTAGAGCAGTAATGTGCAGTCGACACTGGATAGAGTACATGAAGATAGGAACTGGCTAAAGTAGATCAGTAGCACTGAGGTGGAAAAAAGGATAAAAAGAAGTATTAAAATAAAACCTGGCAGTTGTTTGACACATAATGCATAAAGCAAACTTAATGTCATCCAGATCGAGTTTATATCTACTTTTAATGCTACCCAGCAAACAGACTAATAAAACTGTGCTTAACGTGATATTAAAGTCAAAAGATTTTTTAGACCATTTCGAAACACTTACAATAGATGTTGCTCTCTTATGTCCTCTGAACACTGACCCTGATATCCTGTTTTAGGGCTTGTTCACACCAGCAGCCATGCTCAGCTGCACAGGTGCTGGTGTGCATGTGCCCAGACAGTGCCAATGTGCTCGATTTAAGCCGCATCGCACTGTTTCTTTCTTTTTAGTTTTTGCTAGAACATTGTGACATTTAATTAAAGGAGAACTACAAGGTGAGTGATTTCCACTTATCCTCATAGCTAGAGCCGACCTGTGACAAAGAAGCTGTCACAGGTCGGCTCTATTGATTGAGAAGTGAGCAGAAACATGCAGCTGATCCGCTCACTTACCAATCGTCTCTCTGTAGTGAGCAGTGACTTTAATACTTAAAAGTATCTGTAAACTTAAAGGATAAGTTCACCTTTCTGACCATGTTTCATGGTCCACCCATATTTAGTCTGCAGGAGCCAGAGCATTGTATCCATGATCTACTGATCGCGGTCGCAATGCTTTACTGGCTTCTGTGCAAAAAAAATGATGAATGCACATTTTTTCTTTTATGAATAAATGTGCATTTATCTTTTTGAAATAAAATTAAACTATCCTTTTTAACACCATATAGCTACATCATGGCAATGAATAAAGTACCTTTTAGCTTTAGTTTTCCAAGGGTCACATGACCAAAGGCCTTAGAATGTCCAGGTCTGCCCTAAGCTAAGTCCTCGGTGATATCGGAGAACAATGTAACTGATACGAGTGTAAGCCCTCAGGAGCAGGGCCCTCCTTACCACCTTGTCTTGAATTGTATTGTGATTGTAATGTCTTCCTTATATTGTAAAGCGCTGCGCAAACTGTTGGCGCTACATACATCCTGTATAATAATAATCGGTGTGCAGCACAGGAACATATCGGCTCGTGAGATATCTGGCAGGATCGTTTTTGGCACTTATCAGACAGATATAACAAAACCCTTCCAATGGATTATTTAACAGACCAAAAGTGGGCAAATTAGAGAAGTTCATTGTTAGGGTTTACATACACTTTAACTTGTATCACCACACCAACCACATCACTGATTTAGATTGTTCTGTGCAAGCTCATGTAGAGGTTGGTACAGACAACACGAAAATGTCTGTGGTTGGAAATTGCAGCTATTCTCTTACCTAGGGCTTTGTCTTTTACTAAAGCTCCATTTATGTTACCTAAGGTCTTTCTGACAAAACTTGTAATCAATTATCACCCTTTGTTCAGTTTCCATGGAGCAATTGAGCCACACTGGAGTGATTCAGAATTCATTAATTAATGCAAATCAGAAAATGTGTTCCCCATGATCGTGCTGTTGTGGGGAAAAATGTCAAGATGTCTGAACCACTAACTGATAATTTATTCGTAATACAAGAGAATGCTGGGCTGCCCTTGGCTCGTGTATTTTCCTGTAGTGAATTAAAGCTCCCCAATTATATACCCTGTGGGTTCTTTCTTTTTAGATGGTACAGCTGCATGCTGGGTAAGAAGTGCAGTTTGGCGCCATTGAAGGAAGAGCTGCGAATACAAGGGGTATGTTTATTGTTGTTCTTGTTCTTTTGTAGTTGCAGGGTTGAAAGAAAATCAGAATTTGAAGTCTGCTGGCAGTTTGGGTAGATATTCAATGAAATGTTTATCAAAAAGTCTGAAATTTAAAAAAAAAAGAAAATCAGTTTGAGAGCAAAACAGACAGTTATAATTTCAGACACAGTCTGCCTCATTTATAAATGGGTTAAAATCATGTCCAAACTTAGTAATTTGTCTATGTGTTACCATGTAATACAATTTGCTTTTAAAACTAGGATTCTTGGGTTACGTACCGAATATTGACCTACAGTACAAGTTCAACTTGGTCACCTGTATCATAGTAATGCTTTTCTGGCCAGTCCCTATTCTACCATGCCAAACACTTACAATACATATTGTGCATTAAAGGAGAACTATGAGGCGAGTGAAAATCACTCAGCCTTTTATTTCTAGCCGACCTGTGACAATGAAACTGTCACAGGTCGGCTGAATAGATCAGGAAGTGAGCGAACACATACCGTCACTCGCTCACTTCTCGATCCTGCCCCTGCAGAGAGCGGTGACTGTCACTCACGGCTCCCTGCAGCGATTCTCCCCTTCCCTGTCCGATCCTCCAGCGCTGACTGGCGGAACGGACGGGGCAGGGGGCGGGTACAGCTGCCCTGACCCCATAGTTCTCCTTTAACACTTTCCTTTTTCAATGTTTACAGATACTATTTATTTTGAAGACCATGATGGGTGCACAAAAATTAAACACCATAGTGAACAAAAAAAGTGCATGTGGGGACACACACACAAAAGTGCACTAGGGTGTGTCTCTTAATGATCCATCTCCCAAAAAAATTGGGCCATTTCCCTGACCACCCAGGGCGCAACACTCCAGATGGGGGCTGAGCACTCGTGTCCGCCTAGCCAAAGCCAGGCAGACCCATTCCTCCCGGTCAGCCATGGCTGACCGAGTACTAGGTTAAGGGCTTCTCCGAAGGGTGACCCCCAGTTCAGGGAAAGAAGGAACCATCCTTGTGAAGTGGAAAAAAATAACGCACATAAAGAGTGAAGTGCACAGACGCAAGGAGAAAAATAAATAAGCGCCAGTGTATATACATTGACTAGACCTTGCGGCCCGGATTAAAAAATTACCCCCATCTTCGCTATAAGGCCTAGCCCAAGCGGTGTAGTGCAGAAAAAGCAAATGGTGCTATGGCCTGATTGCTTTTCACACAGTGGGGTCCTAAACCCATAGTTAGAGCGGTGACTACTTTACAACACACAGGGACCATGGGGAACAAGTAGCCACCCTCCCGAAGGAAGGACAGTGTCGGCACCAAGTCAGAGATGATTTGAGGAGCTACAGCTGAGTGATACACAGTTAAGATACTTGAATGCATTTTTAAGGTTTAACTCCTGAGGTTAGTGTCACTTTAAATGAATTAGAATATTTTGCTTGCCAATTCAGACAAGCACTCAACATAGAAATGATTGGCATGCTTGCTGCAGTAGTCACCACTTTAATATATTTGGTTTATTGTGTCTCATATTTATTATAGGTACCTAAAGTTGCACATACTGAATTTTATCAGGGGAAAACAATGCGTTGGGCACTGGCGTGGAGCTTCTATGATGATGTGATTATCCCTGTAAGTAAAGCAGTATTTACCAAGAGCTGTATTTAACACAACAATCCTTATTATTAAGTTTGCCATTGGCACAAGATGCCTTGCTAAATATAGAGCATAAAACATGACTTGGTTGCAGCAGGGCATTACCCACCCCTTTTGTGATGTGTAGCGGCTGGGTGGGAAATGCCCTCCCACAACTGATGTGGCTGGGAGGAGGTGTGTGCCAGTCACAGTTTTTCGTGGGCTTGGGCAAACTTGAGTGAACTGGGTTTGCACCAGGCCCCCACTCATCACTTGTCACTTTAAGCAACATCTCCAGTTTGTTATGTAAATAGCCCTGTCTGTCCATGCTGTCTGGAACCCTGGTGGGGCAATGTGAAACTTGCTGAATGCACAACTTTTACGGGCCAATTTTGGCTTTTCAGCCAAGCTGTTTCTATAGCTTTTGTATGCCATTCATGGCACGTAATGGAGAATCCATTTTTGTGAACACCCAGCCTATTCCATTCTTTTAAAGAATCCAATAAGGGAAATGGGATTCAGATTTTCTCGTCGTGTGCTCTCTGGTAATTTCTCCCTTGGAATACTTGGAAAACTCTTTTATATCAAACTGCACTTTGTAATTGGAGCCTCATTACACCCATTAAGAGATGTCCATTTTTGGTGGATTTGTCCTTTAGCCCCTTCCAGGACAGTATATTGAGAAGATATATTATAAATAGCGGTGCAGCGAATTGAAATTTTGAGACCGAAAGGAGAAGAAAAAAAAGTCTGGCCTAAACCAAAAAAAATAATTTTCCCAACCTTTTTAAAAATGTAAAAAATATTTTCATTTCTAAACTTTTTTTTATAATTTATTTTTCTTAAATATTTTAATTTTTTTTACTGTTGGGGGCTGCGGTGAAATACCAGGGCCGTTTTTGGCCGATATGTTTCGGTGCATCCCTATTTATAGGTTTTAGCTGAAAAGCAAAGCAGCCACTTCTGATGTCAAGTCTGGGCTGCTATGCTGCAGTAATACTTGGCATGTAACAATAATCAGCACTAATCTCCAGCAAAACACACTGAAATGTCACACTGTATGTGCGAGACATCATCTTTAATCTCTTTCCATCTCTCAGCTCATAGAGCAGAGAAAGTAAAGCTATGCGCATACAACTGCTTTGAAGGGGTATTATTTTCCCTCCTTGATAAGTGGGGCCATAGTGTTTGCCTACGCTATTCCTCTCCTTCCAATCAATTTCTGCATTGATTTGACAGTAACACTTTCCCAAGATGAGTATTCGTGGTACTGTGGCTGTCCTGCCAAGACTTTGCTGGTTGAAGCCGCCTGCCCTTCATTTTCTGTGGACAGAAGTAAAACAAATGTAGTTATCCTGATGCCAAGACAGCTCCACAAACATCCACAGTTACTTTTATTTTTCTATTCTTGCTAAGTGCTGCATAGTTCCTGGTCATGTGTTTTTAGTGCAGAGACTAGTACTGAATGTGCAACTTATACAGTGGTACCTCGGTTCACGACGATTCTGGTCACGAACTGAATCAAATACTGTATGTGCTAAAAAGCACGCAAAAAAGCTTCACGGCAAGTGTACACAGGTCTATCTGCGGGAAAGATGGCCGCGGTTGTGTTCGTCACCCGAAATGGATTTTGCAAACACAAGCAAAATGTTGCCAAACTTTCAGAAGTGTTCGTGAACCGAGGTATTACTGTAATTAGCATTTCTGTAAAGTGCTAAATAAATGTTTGCCTATTTTATTTTGTGTGTCCTTGTTTTGTGAGAGTCAGAGTGGAAGACCATTAATAACTATTGCATATTTTTTATTTTGTTGCATGCTTCCCCCTTATTATCCATATAGAAACAAATGGATATTAATATAATTGTACTACCAATTGAGAGCCCTAAAAAGGTCTCGTGTTCAGATGTCCTACAGTGTAAAAGGATTATTAGCATTCAAACAGCATTGCAAAGCAAAGATGTGCTGTCCTGAAAGGTTAATTCTCTATATTCACACGGCTTGGCTATATTCCTTTGTGTGACTGCTGTAAAAATAATATACAACGCCCTCGAGGGCTTTGAATATTTTCAACAAAGCAGGGAAATCTTGAGGTGATGTGATATCTGTAATTCTCTGCTTTGTTATTAATGTGCCCAGGTTATATGGGCCATTGCTATCTCCTCCTGTATTACATCGTCTGTGTGGGAGTTTTGGAGGCACAACAATCCTCTGTAGCCCGTGGGTGAACACGCTCCCTGCCCCACGTCTGATAAATACCTATTGTAGAGCCGTCTTGTGACAGACCAGCCTGCTAATGCCCATTTGTCTTCAGGATTAGACATGCACACTGATTTTTCTGGGCTTAACAAATTAAAAAGGCATTAGCTGACAGCTTCTATCAAACTATCGGCATAATCGCTGGCGGTTGTGAAACAATGAAAGTAAGATCGTGGCCAGGTCGACCTGTCAGACCTCCTTTTGTAGCCTAGGCTAAGAGACTATGTCGTCTATCGATTTCAAGCCTTTTTTGATTTTCTTCACGTGGGTTGGGGGTTAACTGCAGATGTCTAGCCTGGCAATTACAATTCAGAGAGTTGGCATTAAATTGGTATGATTGTAAGCAGCCAGTGAAAGGTCTTAAAGGATGACTAACTGATTTCAAGCCGAGCGTGGCGTGATAGAATTGATTGTTTTTACAGGCAGTCTCGCCATTTAAAGCTGCAGTGCAGTATTTATTTGTTATTTCTCTGTTCTTGGTTTTGCTTTTTATGAAGAATGTGGCACAGAATAGGCATTAAAACACAGTTCAAGGCTTAAAAATAACAAGCTTGCTGTGTAGCATCAATGAGAATAGACTGTCGATAAAATAGTTATTGGTCGCAGTCTGCAAGCTGCACCCCTACAGGGCTCAGTAAAAGGCGCACAGCATTACTGGAGGTTTTCAGCATAATTTAGTTGTTAAAAAAGTGATCTTTAAATTGTGCACCTGTTATCTTTCAGCTAATGCTTTCCATTGTGCACATACAAAAAGGGCCATTCCAGGCTTTTTCTGGAAAATTTGGGCATGGATTTCTCGGACAATGAAATGAGCAGGAAAGGTTACCAAGCAGCAAAATACCCAAATAACTGTAACTGAAAAACTATAGTGGAAGTAGCAAGTGAACATTTCATTATTATTGTTTATCTAGCTGTACTCCTGGCAGACGCACATTATATCAGTGCTGCATTCATTAATACATCATTCATTCTATGTTGTAAATGTAAGTAGTGTTGATTTTGACCAGGTATCTGCCTCTTGCAGTCCTTGTAATGCAGGAGTCAGTCTGGGAGAGGGAGGTGCAACACAAGGAAGTAGTCAGCATGCTGCAGTGCCCATGTGCCAAAAAGGGGGCATTTTGTTAGGAGAAGAGAGCAGAGTGACAGAGAGATGAGTTCATCAGTGTGCTGCTTGTCCTTTTCACTGTCCAGTCACAGGATGGAGGAATGACGAGACCTGTAAGTGTTAAGTAACTTGTGCAGGGAAAAAGCAAGTCTCCTGCCACCCAAACACCTGCTTCCCCCTGAACCCCATCTCCGTGATGGAATTACATAGCAAACTTTTTAATTTACTAAAATATTTTGAGTGAAAGGTCCCATAAATACATCCTTTTTCAATAAATGACCACAGGTCAAAGAGTGGTGGGGGCAGGTATGCACTGTGCAATTTTCCATAGTACTGGCAGCCATGTGGCAGTGCAGTGGTGCAGCCACAAAGGGACAGATACCTGCTGGAGAAGATGTCAGGCCCCTAGCCAGTGGGACAGTGGGAAGCACTGTGGGAGTCCACTCAACCTACCGCATCTAATTTTCACAGAGATTGTATGCCAACTTAAACTTGGCATCATTTAATTCTGCAGAATTAGAGCAAGTCTGCCACCACTAAAAAAAAACAATGTGTAAAAGAAAAAAAAAATCACCTAGCAAACAAAGATCAATAATGCCCCATTCACACCTGACCGTTTTGTAGCGCGTCCTACGCTCGATGAACGCTCTACAAAACGGTCAAAAAAATAAATAGCATTGTAGTCAATGGCCTCGTTCCCACCTGTCCGTATTTCCGCCCGTCCCGAACGCACTACAAAACGGCCCACGCATGAAAAGGTCCCGGAGCGTTTTTTGCTGCGTATTGGTCCGTTTTGTAGGGCGTTTTCCATTAGTATACTGCCAAGTAGCCTTTGGAATCGCGGTAAAAAAAACGCGTGACGGTCGCGCGACAGACGCGCATATTACAATACGCATAGGTGTGAATGGGGCCTAATACTTACCTTCCTGGTGGGTGGCGAGTCCTGTCTTTGCTTCTTTGTATCTGACAAATCTTTAGCATCTGACACACGTTTTGGATGCCAACGCACTGTGGTTCCTTCCATTGGCCACTACGTCACTTCTGTACAGTAGTCTACAGAAATTGGGGTGAAGACATTGGGTCCTCTACATATAGAGAGATTAGACATTCCAGTTGCCCAGTTTGGGAGACCCGGTAGCAGTTACAACTAAAGCCCCAAATTCATGAGGGGAAGAGAATGGAGTCTCGCTTCTGAGTCCTCGTTTCTGCAGAGCTTTGCAAAACAGCTGACATGAGCATACCCAAGACCAGCCAATTAGATTAGTCCAAAGGACAACCCCTGCAAGAATGGCATAGGCTGCATCTTACCTGTTCAGTAGGGTATACACGGGTAGATTTTCAAATGAACATTTGTATGCAAAATCCCGTTGGAACTTTCCAAAATGCCATCAGAGACTTGACGAATGTTGTTCGAAATTTCATTTGATTTTTGTTTCATTTAACATTCGATTTTGAAAGGAATGGAGTTTCCCAAAACAAAAACCACATATACTGTTAGAATATCGTTCAATTGAGAAACATTTTCCAACACGCTCCTTCAAATTTTTTCCTCACTGTGATTGAAATTGATAATCGATTTGACGCCATCAACTGTTAGTCAAACGAACATTCTGAAATCGACTTTGTTTGAAATTTG